AGACTATTACAAAATGTTTCGTATGACCTGGCAGGATATGTTCACTCACCGTGAAACAACGCTACACTGGCTGAGAATGCGTGTGGGAGGTGGCTTTGTCTGCACGCTGGGCACTTGACAGGTTCCGTATGACTGACGAAAACGGAACCAAAAAATAGACGAAAAAAGTCGGCCAAAACCAAAATTGGCAATAACGGAGATTGACGAAAACGGAGGGTCCACTGTACATTATTATACATGCATTATTATTATATGTATATTATTATTATTATATTATATTATCATGCTATTATTATATGTTTTTTTTTTTCAACAAGTCAGCCGTCTCCCACCGAGGCAGGGTGACCCGAAAAAGAAAGAAAATTTTTATTATATGTATTATTATTATTATTATTATATAAATAATTTGTAATTTTTATTCACACAAAAAATAGAAGATTTACTGTTATGCAGACCACTGCATTATTGTAATAATTGTATAAATAATGTCAACCCATTCATGATGGCATAGTTTACTCTTGAACATCGCCAAAGAATTGAACATTTCTGCTACTTTGAGCTCAATTTCAAGGTACTTTTCATTGTGAAACCAATCAAAATCATATCTATTTCTGTAATATATCTTCCATTCTATCAAATGAGATAAAAAAAAAACGAGAATACAACCATAAAAACCACATGAAAATACCGCTAAGGGGCAGCTAATGGCTGAGAAGTGAACTCCGTTATTTATGGTCTGATTTCTTTCATTTTTTGTGTACATTAAGAAGCATCTTCCCATCATACATTGCCCAAGTTTCAATAAGGTAGTCCAACAAACAAATGAGATCCAATTCCCTAGATCAAGAGCAAGATCCCCTCACCAGTGTCAAGGAACCTCCCTTGAGGCCCGCTCGCATCTGGAAATTTCATTCGCGTCTGGAAGCAAAAAATTGAGTGAGCGACTGCTCATATCTGGAAAAACTCACACGTTGGTGCACTCGTAAGTAGAGGTTCCACTGTATTTAGGTACAGGTACACATAAGTACAATTATCAGAGTATATATAAATTACATAATAACTTTAAAATATTTGAAACTTTGGAAAGTTTCCAGACATAATCACAGAGAATGTAAACAAACATGAGTGGCATGCAGAGGCCATAATAGTAACTCAGGCAGCTGTATAAATGAATTTTTGGGTATAATTTTAAATACAGTACAGTGGACCCCCGCATAGCGACCTTAATCCGTGCAAGAGGGCTGGCTGTTATGCGAAATGTTCGGTATGTGAATGAATTTTCCCCATAAGAAATAATGGAAATAAAATTAATCCGTGCAAGACACCCAAAAGTATGAAAAAAAAAATTTTTTACCACATGAAATGTTAATTTTAGTACACACAAACTGAAAAAGGCATGCACAATTACATGACACTTACTTTTATTGAAGATCTGGTGATGATTGATGGGATGGGAGGAGGGGAGAGAGAGTGTTAGTGTTTAGAAGGGGAATCCCCTTCCATTAAGACTTGAGGTGTCGAGTCCTTTTCTGGGGTTACTTCCCTTCTTCTTTTAATGCCACTAGGACCAGCTTCAGAGTCACTGGACTTCTTTCGCACAACATATCTGTCCATAGTGGCCTGTACCTCTCGTTCCTTTATGATTTGTCTAAAGTGGTTCACAACATTGTCATTGTAACAGTCACCAGCACGGCTTGCAAATAGCTGTGTGAGGGTGATTTTCATCAAAAAAGGTTTGCACTTCAAGCCATTTTGCACACATTTCCTTAATCTTTGAAGTAGGCAATTCCTTCAATTTCTCTCTCCCCTCCTTTGAACCAGTTTCCCCAGGTCTGGCCTCTTGCTCTTGAGTTGATCTATCAGCCATCAGTGGTTATTTCTTCATTGTCCTCCTCCACCAACTCTTCCACATCCTCCCCACTAACCTCCAACCCCAAGGACTTCCCCAATGCCACAATTGATTCCTCAACTGGTATACTCTCTCAGGGTTAGCCTCAAACCCTTCAAAATCCCTTTTGTCTACACATTCTGGCCACAGTTTCTTCCAAGCAGAGTTCAAGGTCTTCTTAGTCACTCCCTCCCAAGCCTTTACCTATAAGGTTTATACAATTGAGGATATTAAAGTGATCTCTCCAAAACTCTCTTAGAGTCAGTTGAGTTTCTGAGGTCACTACAAAGCACCTTTCAAACAGAGCTTTTGTGTACAGTTTTTGAAGTTTGCAATAACCTGCTGGTCCATGGGCTGCAGGAGAGGAGTGGTATTAGGAGGCAAAAAACTTCCACCTTAATGAAGCTCATGTCCCCATAAAGTCGCTCTGCCACAGTCTGTAGGATGACCAGGGGCATTGTCTAACACCAGGAGGCACTTAAGTTCTAATTTTCTTTTCAGTTAGGTAATCTTTGACATTGGGGGCAAATGCATGGTGTAACCAGTTATAGAAAAAGTCCCTAGTGACCCATGCCTTACTGTTTGATCTCCACAGCACACACAAATTATCCTTGAGGACATTCTTTTGCCTGAACGCTCTGGGAGTTTCAGAGTGATACACTAATAAAGGCTTAACTTTGCAATCACCACTAGCATTGGCACACATCAACAAAGTAAGCCTGTCTTTCATAGGCGTATGTCCTGGGAGTGCCTTTTCTCCTGAGTAATGTAGGTCCTGCTTGGCATTTTCTTCCAGAACAGGCCTGTTTCATCACAATTAAACACTTGTTCAGGTTTCAGTCCTTCAGTTTCTATGTACCCTTGAATTCTGCACATATTTTTCAGCCGCTTGTGGTCCGAACTGGCAGCCTCACATGCCGTATCACACTATGTATGCCACTACGCTTCTTAAATCTCTCAAACCAACCTTTGCTGGCCTTAAATTCACTCACATCATCACTAGTTGCAGGCCTTTTTTAATTAAATCCTCATGCAACTTCCTAGCCTTTTCGCTTATGATCGCTTGAGAGACGCTATCTCCTGCTAGCTGTTTTTCATTTATCCACACCAATAAGAGTCTCTCAACATCTTCCATCACTTGCGATCTTTGTTTCGAAAACACAATTAAACCTTTGGCAAGAACAGCTTCCTTGATTGCCTTTCTGTTGCCACAATAGTAGAGATGGTTGATTTGGGTTTCTTGTACAACCTGACCAGGTCGGTGATACGCACTCCACTTTCATACTTATCAATGATCTCTTTCTTCATCTCTATTGGAATTCTAACCCTTATTGCTGTAGGGTTGGAACTAGAAGCTTTCTTGGGGCCCATGGTCACTTATTTTCCAGAAACAGCACCGAAAACACTGTAATAATACGAAATATTCCGATTGTATGCTTGAATGTTACCGCGGAGGCTGGCTGGTAAACAATGCCACCGGCGGAACATATGAGGCTGGCTCAGGCCGCACATTGGACGCGTCTCGGACGAAGGGCGCTGAGCGGGTTTTTGGGCGGTATGCGAGGCAAAATTTTAGCGATCAAAGCGTCCGGTATGCGGATTGTCCGTTATGCGGATTGTCCGTTATGCAAGGCGTCCGGTATGCGGGGGTCCACTGTATATGTATTAGCAAATCGCCATAAAGTGGGGCCCTCCTATACATTTTGCTTTTCAAATTACATGAGGGGCAACTGCCCTTGCTCACTTAAAATCCAGGACTCCATGAGTGGTTCTACTATAATGGTAATGACCCCATGCAGCATGTTTCAATCACATTGTACAAGTGCAAGCTGGAGACTACCAGGGTGCACATCTCCAGGAATGTCTTGTGGAAGTTTGGGAAGATCGCAATTGAGGCTGCAGTTAAAAACAGAGGATACAAAAATTTGTAACAACTCGTCTAAAGAAGATGAAGGAGGAACCTTAAGAAGAGATGAATGGTGTGAGTTAAATGCCCAAACTGCCTGCTCAAACTGTCAACAGGAGTAACAAGGGGTCAGGCTGTGAATGAGAAGAACAGGGAAATGATCTTTGTTACACAGATCAGGTAGCATAGACTAAATGTCTAGTGCTTTAGATGCAGAGCAAATAGAACGATCTAGACAAGTAAGAGTATGAGTGCAAGTCATTTAAAACATGGAGGGGATGAGAAGTGAGAAAAGCTTCCAATTGGTCTCCATGTGCCATAATGAAAACCTTCTCAAAAGAAATGATGAATATTAAAATAACCAATAATAGGAATGGTGGAGGTAAGAAAGAAATCAGAAACTTAAAATCAGGAATAGATAATGGGCATGGAGAAGATACGAAGAGCTTATCATGGATATGATTGTCCATGATGGAGTTTTTTCTTCTGGATATAAAAGGGGTTGGGGAGAGGAAGGAAAGGAGGAGGACTGGCTCCAAGGAGAAACAAAGAGGGACTATATCCCCTCCCCTCCATGTCCAAGAGTACCTCAACATGGCTGGCAGTGCTGATACTGCATGGGACCTGCTCTCTACCTTTCATGCCAACAGACTAGTAATCCAGGATAGCAATCTCACATCAATCAACAGAAGAAGGGCAACCAGAAACCTGCTGAGAGGTATACCCCCTTCAGCTGCCACCTCCGTGCAGCCTTCAAAGATACACCTGTCACTTGAAGACACATGAAGTTGCCCTATGAAACTCTGGCACATCTCTACATGAACCAAATTCCATGGCAAACACCATCACCACCAACAATGTCCTCAATGGAATGATACAAAAATCCCCTTTCCCTCAACTTAGGAGCTGTAATTTACAAGGAAAATATCCCCAAAGATTAAATGTAGAGGGGAGGGGAGGGCACACAAGGGAAAGGGAGGTGGGTATAATTATATTTGGTTCAAGGAAGAAGACAAAATGTCTAATTCCTCAGATAAAGAGCCTCTTCACAGTGCCCAGGAACCTTCTTTTGAAGTCAATATATGTAAAATTAAGGTTGTCTTTAATACAGCGAAGACTCTGTAGTCACTACAGCTTGCTTAGTTTAAATAAAAGGCTAATAGATATGTCTAGGCTTTAATCTTTACTACATATCTTGGAACTAACCTGAAATAGATATTCTCTCTTGGAGGTGCTGGCAAGCGTGTAATCTTAAGAGGTAAGATGCCATGGGCTGATTTGTGATGCTGATTGATAGGGCGGTGACGGGCTCGTTCACCACAATAACCACATTCATATTCGGCACGGAAAAGCTGTTCAAAAATTTCTCGTCGTAGCTTCTTCACTTTTACTGGTCTATCTGCATGGATCTGATAAAATAAAATTCTATAATGATTTTTTTTAACAACATTCTTTGGAAACAATAATAACTGGTTGAAAAATTACAAAATTTAAAATATTTGCTTTTTACATGAAATTAAATCAATGAATTACTTACTTTTTTCATATGTGCTTTAAGTTCTTCTAGCTTCTCACTACTTTTCTTGCATAGTCCACACTTGTATATTAAATCTTCAGTTTCATTTTCTGAACTTGACTGCACAAGAGATTCATTCTCATCTACTATTTCACAAACTTCAACTGTTTCCTCTTCCTCAGTATCTACACTGTATCTACTTGGTGATTTCATGTCCTTACCACTTCCCCTTCGTTTTGCAATATGCAATGGGTTGATAATTGAACTTTCTGAGCTGCTGGTAATGACCGTGCTAGAGGCAACGCCTGTGGATGTTGCAGTGCTGATGCCACTGTCACTTGTGCTGACATCTGTGTCTTGTGCCATAGAATCACACTTGGCAGCTTCTGAAGTTGCTTGTGGCAGTTCTTTATCAGCAGTTGTGCTACTCACTACTTGGTTTGAAACTTCTCCATGATGCCGTAAAACCATTTTAATTTTAAAATCTATTAGAGGATGATTTTGAATCCAGTGATCCATTGCTTGAGCAAGAGATATACTCTCTGCAACACAATGTATACACTTGTATATATACACCTCTGTGAAGATCTTATCACCTTCTTCCTTTCTTACTTGATAAGGTAAGTCTCTGTGTTGCTTCTTTATGTGATCATCTATAGTGGCTTTATTTGAACGCTGGTTACAATGACAGCAGCTATAACTAACCTCAGACTCAAGACTGGCAGATGGTAGAGAAAACTGACTACCAGGAGTTGATAATTCACTGGTGGCAGTCTCTTGTACCTGACTAGATATCAGAGATGATGGCTTTGTGAAGGATTTTCTTGCTTTTGATCTTATTGGTTTTGGACCAGGACACAATTTTATTAACTTGCTGCCAATGGGCACTGATGAAACAGAACCTTCACTGCTTTCAACAGGACTAGTGTCTCCTTCTCCTAGAACTCCATCCTCATTTGTTTTGTCACAAACCAGGTGGGTAATGTTTGGCTTAAGCAGTTGATGTTTCCACCTGTGATGGCGTAGTGCATCTAAATTTGTGTTAAAGCGCCCATTACAATGAGAACACATAAAGAGACGTGTGTCTGCATGCTTACTACGTTTATGTTGATTAAGGCCTGATGCTGTACTTATTGTGAAAGGACAGAATGGGCAACTAAACGACTTCGGTGTCTCTTCTATGGGTGTGATTTCTTCTGTAATATCTTCACTAACATCTGATTTCACTTTATTTTTCAAATCTGTAGTATGGATTACCTTTCCAATTAAATTGGCAACCTGGGCTCCTTTAATCAGAGTTTTCCCTTGTGGTGTTTCTTCTCTTGTGCATACAGTGTCTTCACCCTCAACAGCAGCAGGTTTACATTTCTCCCAGTCATTCTCTCCTTTAATATCATTACTGGATACTGGCTCATCACCTTTATAGACTTTGCATCGTTGTGAAACATTTAGTACTTCATTCTGCAGTTTGGGATGCTTGATACTACTGTGTTGTTTTACTGCATCTTCACTGTTGCTTGCAAATGGACAATAATGACATTTGAATCTGGAAAATAAAAAAAAACTCTTGTTTTTATACAAGACATAAATTATAATTAATTTCATATCTGACTTTCATAACAAAAGACTGATGGTAAAACAAAAATATCGAATACAGTGGAACCTCGGCTTACGAATTTAATCCATTCCGTGACCTCGTTCGTATCCTGATTTGTTCGTATGCTGAGTCAATTTTCCTCAGTTAAATTAATTGAAATGGCATTAATCTGTTCCAGCAGAATTCCTGCTCTTAGGAGGCAAGACAAAATACTTCAGTATGATGCTAATATCAACTCTACAGCTTATTTATATATCACAGTTCATCTAATTTCACCATCACTCAAGGAATGCACAACAGGTGCATCACTGTCAGTGTTCAGCACTTCTTCGATGTCAGCTTCCTGTAATTACATTAGCACACAGTCAAGATGAGTAAATAGAATTGTCAACGCTTATTGCTTGGGTACGTTTATTCTGTTAGTGGGTTGGATCTGTGAAGGACCTGCCTAGTATGGGCCAACAGGCCTACTGCAGTGTTCCTCCTTTCTAATGTTATTATGTACCCACAACACCAATCATACCCATCCCCACCCACTCATATATTTGTCCAATCTCTTTTTAACCCTTTGACTGTCGAAGGGCCAAATCCTGAAGTTGCTTCTGGTGTCGCAAAATATTCGAAAAAAAAAAAAAATTATTTTTTCTTATGAAATGATAGAGAATCTTTTCCCGATTGTAAAGACACCAAAAAAACGAAATTTGATGGAAAACTGACGGAATTACGCTATCGCGAAGTTAGCGACTTCGGCGATATTTAAAAATCGGCAATTTCGCCCACTTTGAGCCCTATTTTCGGCTAATTCCGTTATTCCAGTCAACCAAACTCATAACTATTTCTTCAGAACTCTATTTTTTCTATCGATTGAGTACAAGAAACTGCCCATTTACCGATTTCAACTACCCAATAACATGGTCAGAAATTTGCAATTTGGCCAATTTCACGAAAATTAAAAAATATGACAATTTCAAAATAAGGTCCAGAATGAACAATGCAGACATTCCTGGCTCTAAAATAACATTTTCTTTGTTCATCAGTCATGTCTCCAGGTCCCTGTGATATTACTCTTGCTTTTTATTTTGAAATTTTATTCAAACAAAAAATAGAAGATTTACTGTTATGCAGACTACTGCAATACTGTAATAATTGTAAAAATTACATCAACCCATTCATGACTGCATATTAGAATGGCTATTTGGACATTTATTGGACAATGACATCATTTGTTCACTTTTGAACATCGGCAAAAATCAAACATTTCCTGTACTTTGTGCTCCATTTCCAGGTTCTTTTTATAGTAAAATTAATCAAAATCACCTCCATTTCTATAATATAGTTTCCATTCTATCAAATGAGACCAAGAAAACGAGAATACAACCACAAATACTATACGAAAATAGACCACAAAGTCGGCATTTTAATTAAAAAAAACGGTCGGAGTTTTTTTTTTCTCATTATGCACTGCGTGCTCCAGGATTTTTTTTATGTGGTGCACACTGACCACACAGACCCATTCTCTCACATGTGGGCCTACTAGCTTTCTCCTGCCTGATTTGAAGCCGCTAGAATTTATGAGTATATATACGTCAAACACGGTACCTCGCAAACGTATATATACGGCCGCGACAGTCAAAGGGTTAAAGCTACCCAAGGTTCTATCGAAGCTAAAACCTTGGGTAGTTTCAAATTTAGGTTGGATAAATACATGAGTGAGAGGGGTTGGATCTGAGTGGGACTTGCACGGGAGTAAATAGGATTTTTAAAGCTTATTGCCTGGGTAGCGTTCCTTGTTAGTAGGCTGGATTTGTGAAGGACCTGCCAAGTATGGGCCAGCAGACATGCTGCAGTGTTCCTCCTTTCTTATGTTCTTATGTTGATGAGTGGCACAATCTGCCTAGTATGGTTATTGAGGCTGAAACCTTGAGTAGTTTCAAATTTGTATTGGGTAATTACACGAGTGAGAGGGGTTGGATGTGAGTAGGGCCTACACATAAGTAAATAGAATTATAAGAACATAAGAACATAAGAACGAAGGAACACTGCAGAAGGCCTACTGGCCCATGCGAGGCAGGTCCAAGTCTCCTACCGGCTTAAGCCAATGCACCCAACCTAGTCAGGTCAGGTTACATTGACTTAAGGGAGGAACACGGCAACCGACCTGGTAGCACAAGCTATCAGGTCTAACTCACACCCACCCACATCTACTCATGTATTTATCCAACCTATTTTTAAAGCTACACAACGTTCTGGCCTCTATAACGGTACTTGGGAGTTTGTTCCACTCATCCACAACTCTATTACCAAACCAGTACTTTCCTATATCCTTCCTGAATCTGAATTTTTCCAACTTAAAACCATTGCTGCGAGTCCTGTCTAGGCTAGATATTTTCAGCACACTATTTACATCCCCTTTATTTATTCCTGTCTTCCATTTATACACCTCAATCATATCCCCCCTAATTCTACGTCTTTCTAGAGAGTGCAGTTTCAGGGCCCTTAGTCTATCCTCATAGGGAAGGTTTCTGATACATGGGATCAACTTTGTCATCCTCCTTTGTACATTTTCCAGAGAATTTATATCCATTCTGTAATAAGGTGACCAAAACTGTGCAGCATAATCTAAATGAGGCCTAACCAAGGATGTATAGAGTTGAAGAACAACCTGAGGACTCCTATTATTTATGCTTCTTGATATGAAGCCAAGGAATCTATTAGCTTTATTGCGAACACTTATGCACTGTTGTCTTGGTTTCAGATTACTGCTAACCAGAACTCCTAAATCTTTTTCGCAATCCGTAATATTAAGATCTACATTATTTAGTTTATATGTGGCATGGTTATTGTCCTGTCCAACATTTAGAACTTTGCATTTGTCTATATTAAACTGCATCTGCCACTTCTCCGACCACTGCATCAGTCTATTCAAATCTTCCTGGAGTGCTCGAATGTCCTCGTCAGAATGAATTCGACGGCCTATTTTGGTGTCATCGGCAAACTTGCCGATGTCGCTCTTTATGCCCTCATCTATGTCGTTTATGTAGATTGTGAACAGCAGGGGGCCCAACACTGACCCCTGTGGAACACCGCTCGTGACGCTTCCCCACTCTGATTTCTCCCCATTTATGCAAACTCTCTGCTGCCTATTTGTCAACCATGCCTCTATCCAGGAAAAAATTTCTCCTCCTATTCCATGTGCTTTAATTTTCCTCAATAGTCTCTGATGTGGGACCCTGTCAAAAGCCTTACTGAAGTCCATATACACAATATCATATTCATTACCATGATCTACCTCCTCAAATACCTTAGTGAAAAAAGTTAATAAATTCGTAAGGCAGGAACGCCCCTTTGTAAAACCATGCTGAGATTCGTTGATTAATTTATGCTTTTCAAGGTGGCTACGAACTGCCTCGGCAATTATTGATTCCATAAATTTTCCCACTATGGAGGTTAGGCTTATTGGTCTATAGTTCGAAGCTAAGGACCTGTCACCTGTTTTGAAAATAGGTATCACATTTGCCATTTTCCACTTATCTGGCACCATGCCAGTTTGTAGTGATATGTTGAAAAGATTAGCCAAAGGTGTGCTAAGCTCCTCTTTACATTCCTTTAGAACCCTTGCATACAGTTCATCAGGGCCTGGGGATTTGTTAGGTTTTAATTTATCTATTTGCCTAAGGACCATGTCACTTGTGACCCTAATCGTGCACAGTTTATTATCGTCCTGTTCTACATAATTTATCATTACTGGAATATCGCTGGTATCCTCCTGTGTAAAAACTGAGAGGAAGTATGTGTTAAAAATTCTACACATTTCCTTATCACTGTCAGTGAGCTGACCCGAGGAACTTTTGAGTGGGTCTATCTTGTCCCTGATCTTACTTCTGTATACCTGAAAGAATCCTTTTGGGTTAGTCTTCGATTCTCTTGCAACTTTAACCTCATAATCTCTTTTTGCTTTTCTAATTCCCTTTTTTATTTCTCTCTTTAACTGAATATATCGATTTCTTAATTGCCCCTCTCCTCTTTTGATTTGCCTATATATGCCTCTCTTTTGACCAATCAGATATTTTAATCTATTGTTCATCCATTTAGGATCATTTTTGTTTGATCTGATTTCCCTATTTGGAACATAATTTGACTGAGCAGCTAGAACTATGCCCTGGAAAGCATCATATCAGCAACCATCACCACCTACCTGACCCTCAGTCAGGTCATTCCAGTTCAGCCCACCTAAGTAATTTTTCAGTCCTATGAAATCAGCCAAGCGAAAGTCAGGGACGGAGACTTGATTGCCATTATTAGGGGAATTCCATGATATATTAAAACTGAGTGATTTGTGATCACTTTCCCCAAGCTCATCATTAACCTCAAGATTATTAATTAGTGTTTCCCTACTGGCAAGAACCAAGTCAAGGAGGTTATTTCCCCTAGTTGGCTCTGTCACAAACTGTTTTAAAAAACAATCCTGGATCGTATCAAGAAAGTCACCTGACTCTAAATTTCCAGTCAAATTGCTCCAGTCAATCTGTCTATAGTTGAAATCTCCCATTAGCACAACATTTTCGTATGTAGATGCCTTACGAATTTCGTCGCATAGAAGTTTACTGCACTCCCTATCAAGAATTGGGGCCCTGTAAATCACACCCAAAATTAGTTTTTCTCGGCCCTCGAGAAGCTGTAACCAAACAGATTCAGTGGCTGACGCTTCTAATTTAATATCTTGTCTAACACAACAATTTAAATTGTCTCTGACATACATCGCTACTCCACCACCTTTCCTGTTGACCCTGTCAGTGTGGAATAATTTATAGCCTTGTATGTGACATTCAGAGGGCATCTCTCTATCTTTCAGATTGAGCCAGGTCTCTGTTATAGCAATAATATCTATGTTTCCTGCACTTGCAATTAATCTTAGCTCATCTATCTTATTTCTTACACTCCTGCTATTA